TTTCTACACGATGCGATTGGCTTAAAAGATTCGCGCCACCTTTTCATCCAATCAGAAGTAAAACCAAAGCCAATTGTGACGCGCTCGCATGCATTTTCCCGCGCTTTGCGTCAGCCACATGTAATTACTTCGAGTTTTGATTGGTTCAATGTATTGTCTGTGTCCTATGTGATTGGCCAGAGTAATTACTTTGGTTTTGGTTTTACGACACTCAAACGAAAACCACTCTAATCTTTTAATTGAAAATAATTTTCTATTTATATTATTACCTGTATTAGTGTAAAGTTTATATGTTCAGTGTGTTTTTGTGCGTTGTTGCTCAGGGCTCCCATTTATAACAGACAGCTTTTTGCGTCTGAAGGGGCTACCCTGAGCGGTATAAATTAATAAAGGTTTTTCTTCTTCTTCTTCTTCCTTTCTTTCCCATTTAAGAGTTCGATACATGAGGAATTAAGCGTTTCTCTCAAAGGGGCAACAAAGCATGACACGTTTTTAGCATTGAATTTCTCAACAACCGGCTTTAAAAAGATGGCTTAATATTTCAAGTTGCACTCCATTTCTATCTTAGTTACCTGAACCCAAGACAAACACTTACATAGCTTAGCAAGAGAAATGTTTTGAAACAAAAACTGAACTGTTATTTGGCAAATTTCGTAGAATCAAGAGTTTTCAGGGTGTCAAAATAATATCAGTAGTTTGTGACGAGGCTCCTTCAAGTATCTCCGGTATTGAAACATTCAGGAAGAAGCACAGGTTTCTGTTTCCTCAACCATTAACATTGACTTTCTCTTTTCATTTCTTTAGCAACAACAGGACTTCTCAAGTGTGCGAAGGTCTCTTCAAAGCATGCTTGCACAAGTATAAGTCGATAAATTTAAACAATATTCAAACACCTTTAACTCTTTTCTAGTTAAAAAGGTTATGTGAAAAGTATATAAATTGTTTAGCAATTCACTTCATGAAACTTGAAAACTGTTGTTTATATTGAAGAAAAATGAATGTAGTTTGCAACATCGGCTTTTAAATGTGAACAAAAGGAAAAAGTTCCATTGCACTGTGTACAGAGATTGTTTTATTAGTGTGATCTTGACGCGCAATAAAATTCTTTACAAGAAATAAAGGCGATTAATTGCACATTTTTGTTTATCATACTTAAACTCTGCCTCTAGTATCAAACCCCAAATACCGAACGTTCTGTCTACAAAGCATGACGTTCATTGGACAATTTTTAAAAATCTTTTATTGCTGTCGAGAAGCAGTCAGTCACTAAATACTTACAAATTATGATTGCTTCAGCAGCTTCAGTAATTAAAAAAACACCCTTTTTACAAACACGAGAGGCAAACTATCTTAAGATCTATACCATGGACTAAATACAGTAAAAGGTACAATGGCGTTGAAAAGAATTCTCGACAATGCAAACATATTTTGTATTCCAACTGATAAAAGTGATTATTACTACACGGCTTCCATCTTCCTTATAGACCTAACATACCATACTGAACTTGAAACTGTACAACGACCTCTGATTCAGAGAAGGTGATACGTTAAGCGGAGAGCTATTTACACGACAAACCCATTTTAGTTATGAGTATGTAATTACTTTTGTTGCATTTAACAACCGATACACACAGTCAATAAATAAGAAGTGCGAGTCTTTAACTCTTTGCTCTGCTTCCTCTGAAGCTCCATCCAACACCATATGATAGAGATCGGAGTGAAGCTAGAAAAAGCCAAGAAACAATTCGATAAGTAAATGGTTTGAACCCAGGAGTCATCATTTTAAGTAGACCGAATAGTGAAGAGGGGAATCCCTTTACAGGAATGAGGATAACTATTTGTTTAGGATATGACAGTGCCTGAAGTATCGACAACTCGGCAGAAGTCATCATCGGTCCGTTTGCACTGACTTTAAAGAAAAGACGTCAATGGGATGCAAAAAAACAACAACAACAAAAAACACTGAAATAGTAAACTATCACAGTACGGATATTCATGACAGTCAGTTACACAGACCACCACTCAGCTACGGTGAGGTTTGATTCCGACTAAGGAATGAAATTTGTCTTGCCCTATCTTTGTGGCATTCTTTCAATGGGTCAGCCAGGAGTGGTATTGGTATATCTGGTATAGCAGTATACCCCTCAAAAATATTCAACATTCCCCAACATATTTTTCAATATACCCATACAAAAGTCAAAGAAGCGTGATGTGCCTTATACCTGAAAATAGTTCTAAACTGAGCTGAAAAATACTGATACCCAGTTTAAGATTTCCCTTATATACAATATATCCAAAAATCCTGGCCGACCCAAAATACTACTATCATCATTTTTTTCATTTCCAGACGTTTAATCATGCAACAGGGACAAAATTCTAACTAAATATATAGTGACAAAGTATACGATACATTTTATTACCTGTGTATTTTCAGCCACATCCTCAGAAAGTTCACTGTCCTCTTCTTTCATTCGTAGCTTCCAAGAGCTATGTGTACCAATATTGTACAACGACCAATCCTCCTTCACGATGAAAAAAAAGCCAATTACGCTTAAGTTTAATTCAGTTTTTGTTTAACAAAAGCGACAAAGAATACATAAGGACACTAAAAAGCAACTGAACAATCCATCGTGAGAAGCCACGCGCGAGTGGCACGCGAGAGCAGACGCGTTCTTGCGTGGCTCGCCACTCGAAATAGAGGACTTGCTCGAAGGCAACCATTCAATGATCTTTCAATCTTTGGTATTTTTAGGGTTGTATCCCATGATCTGGGCATGAGATTATTTACCTCCAGAGGTTGTTCATCCTGTAATTGCTCAATAGCTTGTAAGATAATTTTGTCCTTGCCACAGTCAGCATTCCACTTACTCCATGTATATGCAAATGCTGATGCTGTTAATGCCATTTCTTTATAAATACTGCCTTCTAACCATTCCTCCTGATAGCGAGAAAAACTGCACATTAGAGTCAACAAAATAGCAAGTGATTTGCGAAAAGCACTCGCAATCATTATGTGTGCTAGTCAAGCTCTAATAATTAAGACATAAATGCACCTTGGAGTTTATGCTGACATATTTTTCAGCATCCACCGCAGGAAACACGTTCACACCAGCCTTTTGCATAGCCTAGAAAGAGTTGACAAATGTTTAAACTAACTTAGTCACACACCAGTGATCAAGCAATAACAAAGAATCAAAAGTCTAAAAGAAATAAAAAATAAACAAACAAATAAAAATTGACCATCAAATCTATCGTTGCGCATAAGCACATGTCGACATTCTCATTCTAGTCCTAGCAGTATGCAGGACGTTTGTCACATGAACCTAGTTTAGTAGCCTTAGCTCCCTCGGGTCCCCGGTAGCTTAGTGGTAGAGCATCTGGACAAGTAACCAAAGGGTCATAGGGTCGACTCCCTATTGGGAGTATTTGGAATATTTCTTCCGAGCCGCCCATATCACTGACTGAAAAACAGAGGCTCAAAATTCACCATCACATCTCATAGCTATCATTGCATATCAAAGACCGTTCATAAGAGGATCATTTTCCAGCAGAACAAGGAGTTTTTACCTCAATTAACTGTTGTGGTTTCATCCATTTGCCTCTCAGGTCAGTTAGCTCAGGGACATCACCCGGCTGCGTCAGAGCACACATGGAGTCCTACATTGCGATTCATAAATGTGTACATGGATATCTAAGTTTCTAACACTACACTTTAATACAGTATGCAACGTTGCCAGGATTTTTCCCTCTTATCCGAAAAATGTTCTGGCCTTTCTGATTTTCCGTTACCCCTCCCTAGTCTCCACATTTTGCGGAAATGGTTGCTACACAGGCTATAAGAATATGAAAAAGAGAGTTTAGTAATTTGTCTGGTCCTAAATGGGTTTGGAGCCACCTTTAATGTTCAAAAATTCAAGGTCAGTGCACTCACTTGCGCAAAGTTAGATATTGTCATTGCTAGTAATTACAGTCCAACAATATGCGGTTTGTGTAGGTGTTGTTGAGTTATAAACACAGAAAGCTGAAATTAATGGCGTTTCTATATCTTGATACCATCCCTATGGTAATTGGAAATGTCCAAAATGACCGTTCGTATTTACCGATGAGTAACATTGTTTGATGCCATTTCTTTGCATCATTCACCACGGAGATGCAGTATTTGTCCATTAAAGTAGAGGTACTGAAAAACGTTGTGAATCATCTCCAAAAATCAGGACTCTTTCTGTTACACACAACTGTGACTAGAATGGTTACAGTCAAGGAATGTAATGTTTCATAATTTTACCAACTTTGAAGAATTCTGTAGGTAGCAAAATTAAAAGGAGCGTTAAAGGTCCTTGTTTGAAATTCGCATTCAGATTTAGCGTACATCAATTAAGTCAAATTATTATTCATTCAAAATATTTCCCAAATTCTGATTGTCTAAAAGCACACGCATAATTAACCACAACCAGCTACTGATGACCAAATTTGGAAGAATTTTGTGTTTAACGAGGAAATGACGTCAAAAATGCAGCCTTCAACAGGTTAATGCACCGTTAACCGAGAAGACCTGGGGACGAGATTGAGTTGTTTTCGTTGTAAAAACTAAAATGGCGGACACTTCACTCGTTTCAAGAGTAAGAACCACAGCTGGAACTAGGTGAAATAATGGCTAAAAACATGGCAAAAACAGCAACAAGACAACTCGGAGGGCGACATCTGCTATTTGGAGAATATTTGCGGGGCTGGACAAACCTTAACATCGATGCAGGTAAGCTTGTTTTAGCTATGTTTTTAAACTAGGAATTATTTTGAATGAATGATAAAACAATTATTGAATTCAGCTTTCGTATCATATGAAGAATTATGGAGATCTCGGAGGGTGTTATCCGCCTCAGCCTACGGCCTCGACGGATAACACCCTCCTCGATCTCCATAATTCTTTATAACATACTCAGCCCCATTCATTAATTGTTAAGTAGTTCATACCTTAATTTCAATTTCTAGTTCAATGATGGCTGCGATGAGAGTAAAAAGACAGCTATTTGTTGCATGAGGACGTAATTCCCATGACTGGAATGGCATGTTCAAGTACAGATCCTGATAAATATTAAGCAAAATGTATTTTAAAACGAGTTAACTCAGTAGTTTTAAGCGACTTGATCAAATGTAGCCTGTGTCACAGGCGTTAAAAGGGGAAGGGAAAGGGGGAATTCGGGCGCGCGAGGTTGTATGAGGCACGCTCCTTGTGCGCCCCTCGCGCTCTGATGCGCTCTAATTTCCCCTTCCCCGTCCATTGCCTGGAAGCGGGCTAGAAAGAAAGACCTCAATGAAAGCCCATAAACAAGGTTCCCCTCTTTATTTCAAAGGAAAGGAATAAGCAAAGAGTAACAGATGGGCCTCAGTGTTGACAAGGTATACTTACAATAGTCAAGACTACTTGTTCAATAACCAGCCAATGACCGTTGGGGCTATAACTCAATGCTACCTCTTTATGTTCGCTACACAGAAAGACTTAAAATCCCCTGATACAAATAGCGCATCAACTTACCTGAAAGGTGGCCACAGGTCCAAAGTTGGAGATCTTGAAGACAACAACTCGTTCTTCTATCAATAAATGTTAAAGCCAAATTGATTTTTTGAAATGAGGATATCTTTAGAATATTAATTAGCTTTTAACAGAAGCATATGACCCTCCTTAAATTCTCTGGTTCCACATTTGGGGAAAAATTTCGTGCTTCTGATTGGACAGCTAAAAAAACCCAGGGCGGTTCTAAACAAATAAGAGGAATTTAGATGCTTCAGGGTCATATGTTCCTGCTTTTAATTAATAACTCAGCTTCACTAAAAGGAGGATGGGTGCCTGAGACCAAGGAGATTCCACTATTGGCAGCCAGTCCTATAGCAGGTAACCTGGTCCTAACAGACCTTCAGCCTTGGCAGATAACACACTCCTTGTTCTCCATAATTCTTCCGATCATACTCAGCTTTATCCAATAATAATTTTTGGGGGATTATTATTTGCATGTTTCTCAGCAAATTCGGGTTATAAACTAAGGCAGGTTTAGTAATACAGATAATTGCTCTCCAAACAGCAGGTGAACAGCTTTTAACCACCAGCTAGACTGCATTCAGAAATTCTCACAATTCTTAAGTGCTTTTCATTCCAATAACAATTAATCATCTACCTTAGCGTGAAGAAATACTTTTTATAAAAAACTGTATTCTATTATTCTGTGTGTAATAATTATTGTATTATTGGGGTCATCCACTAGATTAGCCTTTGCTATTTGGATGATTCCAATTAGCCCCTTATCTTGAGACTACAATTTTTAATCGTTACTTATGTAACTGTATTTATTTGTCTCTTTTTTTTTCAATCTGTGTCACATGTAACGGAGCTGAGTGAAATAAAATTTAATCTTCTTCTTCTTCTTGAGATCGTCAAGGCCACATGAGTGTATGTGAACATTGCTGACCACAAAGGGTGGACACAGGCTGGTGCTCTTTGTTGGTAAATTTTTTATTTTATGAATGTTTAATCGATATACCTTCATTGTACTGTGAGTCTGTAAGAGCATCAAGTCTCCAGTTGTTTTTGGTTGAATCCCAATATGCTAGCTGGGGCGGTTCAAAATACATCACATCTGAAGGCAGCCTGGTACGTGAAAACAATTATTATTACTTGGTTATTAGCGACAACACCCTAAAAAAATTATAAAATTGTTTCTTTACATTTAACAACATTATTAGAATGATGATACATTCAAGTTTTCTATGAGTCAATAGTCAATGAGGCATGTAGTACCAAATTGACTATTGACTCTTAAAAAACAAAAACGAGTAGACTGTTACTTAAGTTTGATGTTTACTAAACTCTCATGTATACAGAATTATGAAATAAAACAAGCCTTTGTTTACACAGCTTGAATTATTTGTAAAAGCAATGTTTGACCGTTGCAAATTAATAAACAAGTTGACTTAGTTTACTTTGTACTTCTTACCATTTTAAGATGTTCATTCTGTATTTTACAGCAGTTTTAGTTTTATTTAGTCTAAGTGGTAGCATCATTCGTTTATTCATCTAGGTACTTCTTACTCAGAGACATCACAAAAACGATCTGTTAAAAAACATGCCATTCTTTTGTTTTTGTGAAAGGATTGAATCCAGGAGTCATTGTCAGTTGGTGACAGTGACTGACGTTGCAACAACCTGTGTGGTAGTCATCTTCAGAGTTTAAGTGTTCAATATGCCTGCACACTACTGATCACTATCTATGATGTATTATAAAGTGAGTCAAAAGCTGCAAAATAAAGCCACATTCTGAAACTTAATAACGTCACTATTTGTTGGCCTACCCATGGGTCGAACCTTATAGGAAAAAACTGTGCCCTCACTCTTGAGTACGGCCTTAGTTTTAGCCTGTACAGTACCACAAATTATGGCGGCTGATCATTTCTGGCACTGTGCAGGTTTCGGACAGGCCAAATAGTGTGTGCTAAGGTGTACAACCCACAGTGGCAAGAGATGACTGAACTCACTGGTCAGCAAAACAAACCTTGAGGGAAGCTGCTTTCAAAGTGATACAGTCATGGAAAAATTAATCAGATTAACATTACCAGTACACTGTAATAAAAAACTCACTTGCATGTAACCATGACTGGTGGATTGGATACTTGGACCTGAGATGCAGAAGCTGAGTTGGGTGGGGCAGGGGTACTATTAGCCGAGTTAGAATCTGAGGCTGTTTGTCCTTCAACTTGATAATTCTCACGTTTGAGCTCTGATGACACAACTAAAAATGGACAAAAGTTTTGTCAGAAAAAAATTTTGTTTTATCCTTAACTTACATGTAGTCACCATAAGGGACAAAGTGCTAGCGCAAAAATGAATAGCTGATAAAAACTTTTGCTAGTAAGAAGAATATGAGTATGAGATCAATTCTGTATGTTTTATTTATCATTTTATTTAGTTACCATTTATATTTATTTTATGGCTACAATAGTACACTGTATGCTTCTGATTGGCTGCTGAGCGGGCAAGATTTTCATGTAATGACCAGGCATTATTAGCTAGGTGTCCAAAGCATTTACCATCTGTGTTTAACTTGATAGTGGACATCCATGTTATGGTCAATTGACAGCTGTCAAAAAAGGGTATCTACTGCCCAGTGCCACATGACTGTATCCCAGGCTCAAGTGTACAACTCATTGAGGTGAAGTGTTTTTTTAAAGTTATCCTCTGACCAGCTATTGGTTTTAATTGATCGCAGGCTCAACTACTTTCGGTGTTTTCTATTAATAGCGGTAAGGGGCCAGATAATAAATAACTTATTAACCTTGTCTGTTCAGACATTACAGGGAAATCTCAGATCTCAGCCCTGGTATATTGACCTCGCTATTGCTCGTTCAACACATCAAGGCCTTGGTCTGAGATTTCCCTGTAATGACCTCACTCTTGCTTAAGAAGTGGTATACTGTATATATTGCACAGTCATATTCTAAACAATTATCACATGCAATGAGGCTTACCGTAATAAATATGCAAGTCACTGACTTAAACTGGGTCATTATTAAATACAAACTTGGTCTGGGTCAAACTATGATATTGAAATCTTAAACAACTGACATCATCGAAAAGATCACCAGTATATTATAGTTTTTTTGCTTTTCAAAGTTTTAATTCCTTTATAGAAAACAATAAAATAACATCAACACGGAGGCTGGAACTGCAGGTAGTAGAGCTGTATGAATTGGCCTAATTATAGTCGTAAGGCGGAAGAATGACTGACAATTATGAAAAAAAAAAGAGCTGACAAAAAACGCTCAAACAACTCAACTGCCATTCTCTTTTGCATAAAAAATGAACTTAGCTTTTGCTGTTGTTTCATGATGGAACAAAAATGAAAGAACTAAGTTGACCAATGAACTGGTGTGGATCGATCGGCAAAGCAATGTATGCAGAACAACGAAATGTATGCTCCAGTCTTTTTCAGAATTACATGGAGCCCCGCTGACACAAAAACTACTCAGTAGTTTGAAATGCTCATTTCAGGCTAATAAGCACACCTATTTTTTTTATCAATTTACTAATTATTGTATTGCTTTCTACTTTGGAAGTACTTATGTATGAGGTAACTTTTTTGCATCACTATGACTCCATGATAATTTTAGTTTTATATTCCGCATCATGATGTGAAAACATGGCCTAAATTGAACACTGCACTTACTCTGTTGCATAATCCACCCCTTAACAATTTTTGGCTGAGGTGGAAGTTCCAGCAACTCAATAAACATGACGGGACCAATGGCACTGAATGCACGCAAGTCTACCACATCATCATCCTCTTCCTCCTCTTCTTCCAGTCCACTGGCCTCCAAACCTGTAGCACTCTCATCACCTACTTGATCAGCTGAACCAGGTTTCTCTTCACCTCCTTCTGTAAAAAATCAGAGTACAGGACAGGAGCTACAGGACTTTATTAAGTGAAACACAGGCAAGGCTGTGCATTAAGAAAACAAAGGCTCAAACAAAAAACAGGACTGCAAATACTTTTTTCTTAGAAAGGGCATATGTCTGGCCAGGTCTCCATTTAAGATGGACATACCAGGAACTGTAATACCCAAATAACTATTTTGTGGGACATACATAGAGGATATTATATGGCTGAGCAGAGATACAAAATTTCTCTTCCAGTGTCAAAAAATATTTCACAAGTGAGCGTAGCAAACGAGTGAAACATTTTTTCCACTCGAGAAGAGAAATTTTGTATCTCCAAGCTGCCTTGTAATGTTCTATTTATTACATAAACATCAATGACGTACCAAACCATTTAATTTTTTTTTTGGCTGTGAAGGATGGGATTTATCATGTTGCCATAGCAACGGTGATATTTTCACGTGTGAAGATAACATGTTATTTTCACATGTGAAGATATCATATTTTCGTGCAAAAGCTCACCTGATATTTCATTGGTAATTATATAATAAATTATGATATGTTACCCTGGGTGCAAGAGGTTTTTTCTTTCCTATTTCCTGATAGTTTGTGGGGTGAAACTGGCTCTCTCTCTCTCTCCACTGCCTAATCGCAGTACCCAGCCTTGGGAAATGACAATATAGAGACAACAAATCTCCAAAATTTCTCGGCTCCCTTATAGGTAACAGTTGTTATCTATTCCTAGTACAGTGACTTTGCTTCTGCAAAATTATATTCTGTCACTTACACACCCTACCTTCTTGCTCCGCTTCCTTATTCTCCCCTTCTTTATTTTGCGGAGTCTCACGATCACTAGCCTGGCTTCTAACACTCTTGGCACTGGCTTTACGGCTCCGAGTGCTCTTGCCACTGCTGGCTCTTCCACTCTGTAAAAAGAAAAAAAAAATGATAACCAAAAATGAATATTAAATAATAATTAATACCAATATTTATTATATAGACACGTGTGTTTTACTGGAAAATATACCACTTGTAAAATTCATAAAAGCTACATCCGGGACCCGAATAGGTTTATTTTCCATAATCTCACATGTGAGATTATTGATGACGTAATTTTGGTAATTTTTCTCTATTATTAATATCAATGGCATTTTGTCTATATAATAAAAAAAAAAATTACACGGCGCTTGAAGATATGAATATTATTTTCTCGTGGCAAAAACAACATTTTACTCACTCGCTGCGCTTGTTCGTAAAATATTGTTTTGCCACTTGAAAATAAAATTCATATCTTCGCGCCACCGTGTAATATCTTCTATTTAAATTCAGCACATTTTAAAGTTATGTATAATGATCTGGTTTAATTGCAGTTACTTAATCTGCTTTTAAACTATTTATACTACTCCAAATTTTGAATCACTTTTGTTTTAGACTTATAAGTTCTGGGTTTAACAAATTTAGAATTCAAGCAGGGGCCGGTTGCTCGAAGCCTGGTTAGCACTAACCATGCTTTGAGCAACACGGGCCTGGTCTTTTAAAGATACTAAAACTGTGAAGTCACTATTGAACACTGCGTACTAAATCAGACAACAAAACAGTGCACTATGCTTAATATAAATTATACAAAAAATAAAGTGACTATGTATTTCACAGACTAAACAAATGGCTGTAATATACATTTCAACTTACAAATCATTATAGTAACTGTTAGAAGTTAGTGTTAATCGAGTTTGATTCTGTACTCTACATTCGCTCAAAATTTATAATGAGCGAATGTAAAGTAGTTAATTTTTTAACTCAGGTAATGTTGGCTTTTCTTTTGTTTTGGGTATGGTAATCAAGACTTGAAAAAAAATTGAATTCCAGCTTGTCCTTCACGCAAGCAGCTCTCACATTCTGCTTGCCTGTAGGGCCACTTCTTGCTTGTTTTTATAGTTAATGATTTAGTTAGAAGATGACTTGCTTAGACCCTTGCTCATTGGGTGAGTGAATTTAAAAATTATTTGCCTTTGAAGAAAATCTGTTTGTCCTGGACGACTGGATGGGACTTTTTTTAAGCCCTGGGTAATGTATGCTAATGAGGTTAAAACAAAGGAAGAATAAAAATTACCTGAGATAAAAAAATTTACTAAACACAAAAAATGCATGGTTTTTGCGGAATGAAATTAAAATAACCACAGATGTGAATAACGTTACTTTGCAATCACCTTCTTTCTACTAGTTTTGCTTGCTCTACTAGCTTGTGAGGCAGACTTGGGGGGCAGGGCATCTTCAGCACCTTCCTTGTCTTCTCCTTCGTTACCTTCACCAGTCTACAGAACCAAACAACAACAAAAACATCCAAAAGCTATCAATAAATTAATGACTTAAAACTAATGACCCCAAACAAACCCCATGCTTTTATTTAATTGGCCACATTAGGTTAGAAAGAGTTTTGGCAGTGTGTACACTAAACAGACAATCATGATATAAACAATCGGAGATTGTATAAAGACAATCTATTTTTTGTAAACTTATTTGAGTTTAAGGAATTAAAACTACTGCTGTCTTAGAGGACCTACTTGCTCCAATTCAAGGTGTTTTTACAGATATTTCCTTTGGTTCTTTGTTTTTTCTTAAGAGGGTGGGAGATAAGTCAGTTACTAAGGAGTTTTACATCACACAACTTGAGGAAACAATTTGCCAGGGGTTGTGAGAAAGTTTTAAGTTGCTGGCATTATTATATTGCTGAAATGGGTAGCTGATTTTGACTAATAGTCAGAGGAATGACCCAGCAGAATAGCTGCTTGGGGGTCTAAAGATATGATGTTGGTGGTTATTTTTGCTGGTCACCTGGGCCGGGTGTTTCAAAGCTGAATTAAGATAACCCAGGGTCGGTGCAACATTTGAATTCAGATGTGAAAGATTAAAATTAAGGAAAATTCAGCTTAATTCCTTATGTCTACAGTGGGACTATACAGGATGCTCTAAAGAAGATAGAGAAAATCATCAAAGAAAATGCTTTCAAACAAATTAAGAAAAAGAAATGCCAGGGCTCGAAATAACGGCCGGTCAACGGACAATGACCGGACTGATTGGGAAGTTGACCAGTCAACTTTTCGTCTTGCCGGTCATGTTGACTGGTCACAATCAATCGTATTGAAAATGAAATCAGTTGTTTCAATTGTTATAAGTATGTAGCGAGTCGCTGTGCATTGCGAAACATTGATCTGAAATCCTGGGTGAAATACAACTAGAAACATTGTTTACAATTCGCGCATTGAAACAGACATTGGGGTTCACATGCTTTCGGTCACAAAATTAAGAATATTTTCACTTTTATGAGTTAAGCAACACAGGGCGTCTGATTGGTTGCGGAGAAAAAAAGTCAAGTTTCGCGGGATTTTTCGAGAGATTCGCGAAAAAATCGGGTGATATCGCGGGAATTTCGTGGAAATTTTCGAGACTAACTTCGCCAAAAAACAATAGGTAAAAGCGGCCGATTTCGTGGAATTTTCTGGACAAATTTCACTACAAATCGATCGATTTTGCGCTGATTTGACGAGCGTGTTTAAAGTTTTTTAACAGAGATAATCACTTGCTATTTTAACTACAAAGCGCTCGAGAAATGAGCTGCTGGCAAAGCTTTTTAAAACATCATGACTAGTGCCCAGTTGTTCCCAACATAACTTATGCCTGGTAGTTTTGAAACGTTGTTCGCTCGTCGTGGGGATGAACGTGACGGCAATTAACAGCCCCAATAGCCAAGATAACTTTCAATTATGTTGTATCGACATGTATTAGATAGGATTTCCAACAAATTTCGCGGCCACGCGAACCCGCGAAATATCTGAACCCATAGCTGTTTTTTGGAATATATAAAGCCATTTTTGGTTCATGGGCCCTTGTTTTAAGAGTTAAAATTTGACCGGCCAGAAACGATAAGTGACCGAGCTAAAATGAAATTGGCCGGTCATCGTGTCTGAAGGCTCTCCGCAAATTATTTCGAGCCTTGAATGCAGATTAAAATTTAACCTCGGGTTAGCGCTAATCAGTCTTAGTACAGCTGAGCCCTGGAGGAAAAGTATAGCCAGCCAAAACACGAAGTAGGTGGATGGCATAGTGCATGACTAACTTTTGTCAGTAGTTATATGTGGAAATATTTACCCCATCAACAGCTGTCTCTTCCACTGGTTCTGCTTCTTCTACCACCACTTCTGGAGGTTTCACTTTGAGCTTAGGGTAAAATGACTTGGACAAGGGAGACAGGTGGTCATACTTGGTGTACATGATACGAACAGCCACATTTCCAACAGCAAGAACTTTGGGGATTTCCATTGAGAGTCCCATCTTTTCAAATGAGAAGGATTTGACCCTGCAAAAATAGTGAACATTCATATGATCCAATTTAGGAGCCAAGTGATTAACACATGCTCAGAAGGAAGTTTACAATGTGTAACTTCTGAAATCTTTGAACACCTGAAATGTTTCAGAAATGTCAATTGTGTAGTGACGACAAAACAATACTAATACTGAAACAAAGAACCGGACACAAACCCACATACTTCTTAACTACTCAGGAGCTTGTGGTTCAGTCCAACAATATTGGATGCTACTGCAAAACTTTAATACCTTCCAAATAAATTATTTTAAAAAGAGCATTCAAAAACATATTAAATGACGATACCTAGGATTCTTGGCTACGTTTCCCCAAACACAAACTGTCATATTTTGAGAAGTGCTTGTGAACTGCAAATTTTGTGTATCAGGATCCACATCATCAGAAGCATTCTATAACAATGTCAAATTAAACAAGATGTTGAGAAATCACCCAAGGGTCATGGAAATCTAGTCGTATTAACAAGATGGTTTTCAAAATAATTTAGTGAGTGTTTGGACACCAAAATGATTTAGTGTGTGTCTCTGGACACCATCAAGCAAGCGCAAGAGGTTGAGGCACCGAAGAACACCTGGTGACGAATGGTAGAAGGAGAGATGAAGACCCCCCACCACGCCTGGAGTACCATCCAGAACCTGGCCAAGAACAGACAGATAAACAGTGAACAGGAGTGGAGGACCTTTGTTGCTGCGCTTTATGCCAGCGGGCATTACAGGCAGTGGGTAAGTAAGTGTGTTAATGGACTATTACAGGCTGGTTGTTATTACACAGGGTTTCACACATGTATTCAAGTTGAATGGTTTGTGAAAAAAGAATTTAACTGAGCTTGAAAGATTTCTACTGTACAAGATATGTAAAATCATAATCTACCACTATAGGCAATTGCAAAGGTCTTTTTTATTTTCAAGTGACGCTCTTTCTCTTTAATGGAGTTAAGATGGTGGCGAATGCTCCTCCTACACATTAGCAATGGCAGAATTTGCGCTGATCAAACATTACTGCCTTTATTCCATCTTGTTCAATTCATTAAATGCTGATGATTTGTTCTGGAGTTGACTTCTAAAAAAGTTGTTGTCATGTGTTCATGTCTTCTCCAAAACGTGAAATTAGGCACTTTCATGTTGTAGTTGGGCAGAAATGTACAAAAAAGGGTGATGCACATGCAAAGTTTTTGTTTTGCTAAATAAATTTAAACCTATTGCTTTTTTGCAGTTCTCGTTGCCGTTGCCATCGCTGTTGCTTAAGCTCTCTACTAATTTGTCCGGGGCAACGTTAAACAGTCTTACCTGTAGCAGATTCATGGTAGCCTCATCCAGTTTATAACTTATCAACTGTTCAAGCTGAAAAATTGACTGTAAAAGAAAAAAGGTAAGGTCTAGTAAACCCAATTCAGTTAAAAATTAGCTACAAAAATAGATAATGTTGATTAATGCATAGCCATTGAACTAACAAGAATTTACTTAAAAATAATATGCAATCATGTATATGTTGTAGTTCACTTTTTTCCTTGGTTTAAATTTTATTTTCCTTTGTTTCATTATAATACACTTATATCATACCCCAAAACAAAGGAAAATAAAATTTAAACCAAGGAAAAAATTGAACCACAACATATATAATATTATGGTTCAATTTTGTTTCAGTTCCTTTGTTTATTGCTATGCATGGCAATGAATGATGATGAGTTTACTTTGAAACCTAGGAAAATAAAATTTAAAGCAAAGATTAACCCATTCACTCCTGGAAATTTTGCCGAAAAAAGTGTTTTGAAGCTAGTCGAGTGGTTTTCTGGTCACTGTCGTGCTATAAAGAGCTAAAACTTACCACAAACCGGTTTACAGGTCGTACACTTCACAGCCTTCTGATCCAGATGCAAAATATCAGCTTGCGAAGTTCGGGCATGCACAGAAAGCAAAATTTCGAGATAGTTTTTGGGTTTAAAAGTGACACAGCAGTCTTGACTTTTACTTTTCGCTTTCTCTCCTCCCTTCTTTTTTCGCTTTCTTGCCTCATTTTTTTTTCTCTTGCTGGGCATTTAGTTGGCTTCATTTTGGTGGGAATAGTTTTTCGGAAACCTTTTAGGATCTTAGGATTAGGTAAAAGGAAAGGTAGGTGAGCAATGGAACAAGATTTCCTTGGAGATTTTCAGGTCAATGTTACATGGTTTTTTGCCTCTTTCTCCAGTGTCCTTGACTGAATTATGCTCATTCTGGTATGGATTGAGAGATCTCTTCACTCTGCACAAGTTAGCAGACAAAGTTGTCCTTGACCGTTAAAACTGATGACGTCACAAAGGGTAGAAAGGACGTGGATCTGCACGGGCGGTTACGGGCGGTTCAGGGGCGAATGGGTTAAACTGAACCACAACATATATTAATTCTACAAACAGTATACACTGTATGTTTAATGAAATCATTGTGTCAGGAGTTACCTGTTTAAGCTGTTGTGTGTCATCTTCTGTAAAGCCTTCCTCCTCTGAACTGAATATCAAATTCTTCATTTCTGTGATGAGCTGTTGCAAAATAAAGTGATTAATGATAATAATTTATGGAGTCAGCTCTAGAGAACAAACAATATTACAGCATTTGGAATAGACAGTTACCCTTCAGTACATAATCATAACAAACATAAAACAAAAATTTCATTTTGACACAATGTAATTTCAAGCTAAAAATTTTGTGGGGTCGTATAAACTAACTATTAAAATTACAGTGAAAATTCAAATAAAATACGGAGCTAACAACAAAAGGTCTTAATCTAAGATCTAAAAGATTAATTTCAAAATAATTTTAAAAAATACATCTAATCACTTTCTCTGTACCGAGTTGTAGAGGCACTTTAATAAACTATCAAAAATAGAGTTTTTAAATTATACTCTTTGGAAGTCATGCTTTTATTTCCTTAAAATTAAGATTGATTATTCTATCATTACAAATACAGTGTAACTAAGTACCAAAGAAATGACACACAAAAGGCTAATGAGTGTCTATAACAAAGTCCTGAAGATTTATTGTGTCTGTGTTACATGTCAAAATTAAATTCAGGTTAAAATTTTTTAACCTAGGTTGATTCTCAATTTCCTTTCCTAATTATTCATGAACTAGGGCTATGAGACAAAGGAAATAAAATTGTTAAAAAATTTTAACCTGAATATAATTACAGTTAACCTGTAACATCTATATCTCATAATTTATAAAATAACTAAGATAGTACGCATGCTCTGATTGGTTAAAAACCTATGGTTTATTGTGCCGGTAAACTCGTAGAAAACTTAAAGTTATTTCATAAAACCAATAGACCACGCTTTCTATGGGTTTACCGGCGTGATAACACACTTAGGATGTTGGGAGAACACTCGAAAAGCTCGTAAATGAGTCGCTTTCAGCTTGTGATTTACAAGCTTTTCTTGTGCTCACCCAACATCCCGCATGGGCTATCACGCTGGTAAACCCATTGAAAGTGTGGTCTATTGCTTAAACTATTGTCAGTTATATACTAAATAGCTGTTTACAAAGGTCTTTAAAATATGCTCACTTGAGCCGGATAAACAAGTAAAATATTTTGATGGACTACCTTCAATGTCTCTTCAGCTTCTTTGAGCACCTTACTTAATGGTTTGTATTCTTTGTCATCTCGCCAAAGATTCATGTAAGTGTTCAGCTCAAAAGTATTAAGGGGATCAGGACTGCCATCACACAGCATATATCTCTCCCACTACAATAGAGGATATCATCAACTTTAGTCCATACATTTGACAGAAATAAAATTTTAGAAATAAGTGTCTATCAGTACTGTTGACAACCTCAATGTACAAATTCTCCTTACTTTAAGTCTCTATTTACAAGTCTTATTTATTAAATAATGGCATGGCATTTTTTTTTCTCATAATCTTTTAACTTCTTCTAAACGTCCTAACTTGTAACCTGTGCACTTCATTATGAAGCACAGTATAACATCAAAGAAAAGAAGTTGTCACGGGACACCTTGTAATCTGTAAATTTAACAAACGTTATAAACGAAAGAAAAGTACTGTCCAAAAGTCCTGTTCAAAAGCCTGTGGATAGTCAGCAGTGAAGCAACTTGCAGGGCTTAAGCGTGTTTTACGTATGAGTGGTCTGACAGACAAGAAACATTTCCTGAGAAGAAGTAAGTGTTAGTGAAAAAGCAGGTTCGTAGACCTGTGTAACTGCTCTAAGCTTTTCCAAAGGGTAAGCAATCTTTTGTGTTTTCTTTTCACCCTGTATTAAGTGGGACATTTAACCCAATGTTTATTTTAATTTATTATTTTATTTCAAATGCTCCAGCAGTCAGCAGTTTTAAAATCAACTGCGCAGAAAAAAGTACTAGTGAGTCCAAAAATGAAAACACTTAATGAAACACAAAATTAATTTAAAATCAGTCTGACTAAAGGAAAAAGGCTTGCTTTTATAAGTCCTAACTAAACTTTGAGGAGCTAGAAAATTAGTCTGTAGAAGGTAACAACTTCACTTGCCACAGGTTAATGTATGATGACAGCATACATGAGCCTGATAGATTGTCCTAGTCATGTCTCAAAGCACTCATAAGCATGCAAGCACTAATAACTTACTACACCAACCTTCGCTTTTGATCGCTCATTTTGCAGTAAAGTTTTAAGTTGTTCAGAGTTATATTCAATCTTTTCTTTGAGTTCATCCACTTCAGCCTGATGTCTGGCACTCTCCTAAGACAAATTAATTCAAGTCAAAATATAAAAGGAAAGGCGACAGAGTAACTTGACAATACCCTGGAGTACGGTACAGCCACATATAAACCTGACACTAAACCTTGAGGCAGATCAAGTGACCATTAAATCTAAGCAATTTGACTTGGCGTAATCTAAAAAAGAATACTAGGAGAGTACACATCCTGTCATATGAAGGTTCTGGGCATAAAAGGCACAAACAAGATCCCAGTTGTAGCTAGAAACTATGGACTTTTGCCAACACTTTTTTCTACTTTAGCTGGCATGTCTTGTTGTCCCAGGAATGTAGGTCCCTTTATTTATATACACGTACATTTGCATGAACGTGAATGAGATAAAATTGGAAAGAAATGGTTCCTTAATTAGTTACCACATGATCTACATGGGGAAATGAGAGAGGTCCCATATGCTTAAGGGGTCTATTACTTAAGATTGTTACCACATATGAGTATGCTGCAAGTAAGGCAATCCAAACAAGAAGAAGGAACAATATATACAGTGCATTACTAGTATAACTGTAAGGAGAGTTCAA